TTAAGCCACTATGTTGTATGTGTGTTAGGTTTTGTTTTTGTTTTTGTTTTCTAAAGCTTGTATTAGAGAACAGGACTAGCACTCTCTTTAAAATGAACCAGTTTATATTATATGAGGTTAATTTTTTTGAGACACGGGACAGGTAGTAATTAAAAGTCCAGAGTAGGCCGGGCGCGGTAGCTCAAGCCTGTAATCCCAGCACTTTGGGAGGCCGAGATGGGCAGATCACGAGGTCAGGAGATCGAGACCATCTTGGCTAACGTGGTGAAACCCCGTCTCTACTAAAAAATACAAAAAACTAGCCGGGCGAGGTGGCGGGCGCCTGTAGTCCCAGCTACTTGGGAGGCTGAGGCAGGAGAATGGCGTAAACCCGGGAGGCGGAGCTTGCAGTGAACTGAGATCCGGCCACTGCACTCCAGCCTGGGCGACAGAGTGAGACTCCGTCTAAAAAAAAAAAAAAAAAAAGTCCAGAGTCATACCCAGACTCCCATAATAATAAACCCTGGTAATAAACAAAGGAACTCCTGGTTTCAGTATATCAACCACCATGTACCAGATAAAATCTTATTTCACCTTTCACAATTTACCAGTGTTGGGCTGTGAATTAATATTCTTTTATTTTTCTGTGCATTCATAAAGATTATTTTATTGTATTATAACTGTAATTTTGAGACTAAAGTCTAAAAACAAGACATTATGAAATGGAGCTGGAGGATCTCTAATTGGCCTTTAGTAGGTTGACTGAAATACCTTAAAACAGGGGTCAGGAAACTACTGTCTATACAGAGGCCGGTGTATAGTCTTTGACTATACAAGACTATGGTTCGTCTTTGACAACCATACAGTCTCTGTTGCAACTACTCAACTCTGCCCTTGTAGCATGAAAGCAGTCATAAATAAGATGTAAATGATTGGGCTTGGCTGTGTACAGTAGTATATACTCAGTACATATGTTCGCCAAAAGATATGTGCAAGAATGTTCATAAATATCACTATATGCTAGAAAACATACATCAGAAACTACCCACATGTCCATCAACAGTAGAACATGACATATTCATACAATGGAATATTATACCACTATGAGAATAAACAAATGATTATTACTTTTTTTTATTCTTTTTTTTTTGAGACAGAGTCTAGCTCTGTTGCCCAGGTTAGAGTGCAGTGGTGTGATCTTGGCTCACTGCAACCTCTGCCTCCTGAGTTCAAGTGGTTATCCTGCCTCAGCCTCCCGCGTAGCTCTGATTACAGAAGCCCGCCACCACCCCCGGCTAATTTTTGTATTTTTAGTAGAGATGGGGTTTCACCATGTTGGTCAGGCTGGTCTCAAACTCCCGATCTCAGGTGATCCACCCACCTCGGCCTCCCAAAGTGCTGGGATTACAGGTGTGAGCCACTGCGCCCAGCCACAACGTTATTTTCAAAAACAGGCATTCGTATGGGGTTTTTTTTGGGGGTGATAAAAAGTTATTTAACTAGAGGTAAGAGTTGCACATCATGATGAATGTAACTAATGCTGCTGAATTGTATACAGTCATGTGTGGCATAATGACATTTTGGTCAACGTTGGACCACATATATGATGGTCTCGTAAGATTATAATGGAGCTGAAAAACTCCTATCACCTAATGACATTGTAGCTGTCATAAAGTCAAAGCACAACTCATTACTGATGTGTTGATGTGTTTGTGGTGATGCTAATATAAACAAACCTACTGCACTGCCAGTCATATAAACATACAGTGTAAACAATTATGTACAGTACATATACTTCATAATAAACGATTATATTACTGGTTTATGTATATACTATATTTTTATCATTATTTTAGAGTGTTCTCCTACCATGTTTTTTAAAGTTAACTGTAAAATAGCCTCAGGTAGGTCCTTCAGGAGGTATTCCAGAAGAAGGCATTGTTATCACAGGAGATGACAGCTCCATGTGTGTTACACACCCTTTGAAGATCTTCCGGTGGGACAGGATCGGTAGGTGGAAGACAGTGATATTGATGATCCTGACCCTATATAGGCCTAGGCTAATGTGTGTGTTTGTGTCTTAGATTTTAACAAAAAGATTAAACAGTAAAAATTAATTTAAAAATAGGCAAACCTCATAGAATAAGGAAATAAAAATATTTTTGTACAGTTGTACAGTGTTTTGTGTCTTAAGCTGTTATTTCAAAAGGATCAAAAAGTTAAAAAAATAAATTTATAAAGTCAAAAAGTACAACTAAAGGTAATTTATTGAAGAAAAAGAAATTTTAAAAATTGTAGTATAACCAAAGTGTACAGTGTTTATAGACAGTACAGTAATGACCTAGGCCTTCACATTCACTCACCACTCACTCAGTGACTCACTCAGAGCAACTTTCATTCCTGTGAGCTCCATTCATGGTTAAGTGACCTATACCAGTGTACCATTTTTGTCTTTTGTACCATAATTTTATTGTACTCTTTCTATGTTCAGGCTTGTTTAAATATACAAATACCATTGTGTTATAGTTGCCTCCAGTAATCAGTACAGTAACATGCTGTACAGGCCTGTGCCTAGGAGCAGCAGGCTAAACCATTTAGCTTAGGTGTGTAATAGGCTGTACCACCTAGGTTTGTGTGAATACACTCAGACATTCACACAACAACAAAATCACCTAATAATGCCATTCTCAGAAGGTATCCCTGTTGTCAAGTAACATGAGTGTAAAATGGTAAAATGGTAAGTTATGTGTATTTTACCATAATATTTTTTTTTTTAAGTAGTAGGCCCGATTTGACCCATGGGCTATAGTTTGCCAACCCTGTTCTACAACATGATCCCCATGAGAAGCAGTGTCATATAATGATTGAAAGTACAGACTTTGGGCCGGGCGCGGTGGTTCACGCCTGTAATCCCAGCATTTTGGGAGGCCAAGGTGGGTGGATCACGAGGTCAGGAGATCAAGACCATCCTGGCTAACATGGTGAAACCCTGTCTCTACTAAAAATACAAAAATTAGCCGGGCGTGGCATTGGGCACCTGTAGTCCAAGCTACTTGGGAGGCTGAGGCAGGAGAATGGCGTGAACACGGGAGGTGGAGCTTGCAGTGAGCAGAGCTTGCGCCACCACATTCCAGCCTGGGCAACAGAGCGAGACTCCATCTCAAAAAAAAAAAAAAAAAAAAAGATACCGACTTTGTTGCCAGACAACCTGGGCTTGACCACTGGCTCTGACACTAACTTTATTTAGATTCTTGGCTAGTTGCTTAACTTCTTTGAGCCTCAGTTTATCTATAAAATGAGTATAAATACTAATATATATTTCATAGGATTGTTTAAGAAATAAACCAGTTACATGAAAGTATATAGAGTAGTTCCTGGAATATTTAAGAGCTCAATAAATGTTAGCTATTGTCATTACTTTTTATTATAATAACTGGAATTATAGGAAGAGAACACTTGCAGTTTTGGCTTTGTTACAGACCAGTTGGTTCATTGTTGTTAGAACAAACTGACAGGTGCTGGTACAAACCTATCTCTTTTTTTTTTTTTTTTTTTTGAGGCGGAGTCTCACTCTGTCCCCCTGGCTGGAGTGCAGTGGCGCGATCTCGGCTCACTGCAAGCTCCGCCTCCCGGGTTCCCGCCATTCTCCTACCTCAGCATCCTGAGTAGCTGGGACTACAGGCGCCCGCCACCGTGCCCAGCTAATTTTTTGTATTCTTAGTAGAGACAGGGTTTCACTGTGGTCTCGATCTCCTGACCTTGTGATCCACCCGCCTCAGCCTCCCAAAGTGCTGGGATTACAGGTGTGAGCCACCGCGCCCGGCCCCTGTCTCTATTATTAGAGCAACTTTCCCAACCGTTGTGTGAGGAGAAAAGCCTAACTGCATGCAGGTTTGCAATATATACAACAGGGCTACACGGTCTGTGAACTGTAACCTCAAAGTGTATAAAACTCTGGTGAAATGTAATCATATATTTATAACTTGTTTTTATAATCATTTTAACTTTTAATCAAGATAGTTTTACAGTCTACATTAATGAAGAAAAATATTTTGTATTTTTATTTATTGAAACACGGTTTCACTCTGTTGCCCAGGCTGGAGCGCAGTGGGGCCATCAGAGCTCACTACAGCCTCAATCACTTGGGCTGAAGCTGTCCTCCCACCTCAGCTTCCCAAGTAGCTGGGACCAAGGGCATATGCCACCATGCCCAGCTAATTTTAATTTTTTTTTTGTAGAGATGGGGGTCTCCTTATGTTGCCCAAGCTGGTCTTGAACTACTGGCCTCAAGCAATCTGCCTCAGCCTCCCAAAGTGCTGGGATTACAGATGTCAGCCACCATGCCCAGCCTGCTTGGTCATTTTTATGGTGTCTTGTTCTTAGTCGTATTTTCTATTTCTGCTTTTGTTTTACATTCTACATCTGTCAATTCCAATTTCTGAAGTCCTTACTGATCTGATTATGTTGTTTCTGCTTGCTTTTTTTCAAGATGCCTTGTTTCTTCGTGGATGTGATTCTTAACAATGGTTTCTAATCTCATAACTTTACCTGTGGGAATTGAGATCTGGATTAATGAAGGTTTCCCTAGAGCTACGCTGTCCAATAGAGTAGACACCAGCCACGTTTGGCTGTAAGTTAATCAGTTCCTCACTCCCTAGCCACATTCTAAATGCTCTATAGCTACAGGAGGGTGGTGGCTGCTGCCACACTGGACAGCACAGTTGTAAAACATTTCCGTCAGCTCCAAAGGTGTGTGGGACAACTGTGCCCTAGAGATCTTTTTCTCCTTCCGCCAGGTACCAGTAGGCATCATCAGCCTGGGAAACCACTTTCAACTAGTCTTGGGTGGAGGGGTTTTTTGAACCATGCAGGTGGTATAAAATTGGGCTGCAAAGGTAAGTGAAGCCTTGTTTGAGATTATGAATTCTCAGGAGAATTGAGAGGAGAGATCTTTTTTCACAATACTGTTGCTGTGGGCCAGAAGATTATCCATGGATAATATATTCTGTTCCTTTGCCCAGATGATGAGAGTGATGTTGCAATTACCAGACCCGATTCAGAAAGTTCATGTGTGCTGAGTGAACCACATCCTTTGGTGTTACCACGAGTGCCACAGTCTAAGGTGCTGTCCATTACCTCAAATCCGGTAAGCCTCGGAGGGATCAGTTGGAGACCACAGGGCTACTCTCACCAGAGGAAATTTGCTCAGAGTTGTTTGCCTTACTTGTATGATTTCTGACTCAATATGTTTTAGTAGAGTTATGTGTTTATCATAATAATCCAGTGACTCTTTGCATTGGTCAGTTTCAGTTTAAAATATTAATAGCAAATTAGAGTTGATAAATACTTCTCAGTCAGCTCTTCTGAGGAGGCATCCATAAGTTGTGCAACCTAGAATCAACCACGTGGTCAGCCTAAGTCTGTTTTGGGAAGAGTGGAGGATACCCTTATGATAAAAATGACTCATCTTAGATTCTCACAGCCTTGACATTGTCCTTGGAATGTCTCCTTCCTTTTGAGTTTTTCCTTCCTTTTTCCATCAACTTGGCCCACCCTGTTTTTTTGTTTTTTTTCCCCCCAAGTTTTTTGAGACAGAGTCTTGCTCTGTCACCCAGGCTGGAGTGCAGTGGCGTGATCTCGGTTCACTGCAACCTCCACCTCCCAGGTTCAAGCAGTTCTCATGCCTCAGCCTCCTGAGTACCTGGGATTACAGATGTGCACCACCACACTTGGCTGATTTCTGTATTTTTAGTAGAGACAGAGTTTCACCATGTTGGCCAGGCCCGACTCGAACTCCTGGCCTCATGTGATCCGCCTACCTCAGCCTCCCAAAGTGCTGGGATTAAAGGCATGAGCCACCGTACCCTGTCCCTGTTTGTTTTTTAGAGACAGGAGTCTCACTGTGTTGCCCAGGCTGGTCTCAAATTCCTGGGCTCAAGCCACCTTCCCACCTCAGCCTCCTGATTAGCCACCATACCCAGCCTGTTTTTGTTTTTTAATATTTAAATCTGTTAACTTTTTTGCCTTTTGGATGTTTAGTACTCATAAACCAGGTATAAACATCAAACAAAAACAAAGAGAAAAGCTATTTCAAGTGAGTCTGAACAAGCACAAAGATAGTATTTCTTGCAGGAGGCAGATGAGGTTGGTCTTATCCCTGTGTAATGATTTATGTATCTCAGTTCCTACACAACAGTTTCCTGATGTTACTTTTGGGGGGAAAAAAAAAAGAGAAAGGTGTTGGTATATTGGCCAGATGTTGTGCAGCTGGATTTACAAAACAGGTATTTAAAAAGAAAATTAGGCCAAGGTTGGCGGGTCACTTGAGGCCAGGAGTTCAAGACCAGCCTGGCCAATATGGTGAAACCTTATCTATACTAAAAATACAAAAATTAGCTGGGCATGGTGGCAGGCACCTGTAGTGCCAGCTACTCTGGAGGCTGAGGCAGGAGAATCACTTGAACCTGGGAGGCAGAGGTAGCAGTGAGCCGAGATTACGCCACTGCACTCCAACCTGGGTGACAGAGCAAGACTCCGTCTCAAAAAAAAAAAAAAAAAAAAAAAAGAAGAGAAAATTAGGAGGGCTCATAAGTCATCACACCAGGGATGAACCAGGTAAATTAATGTTCCCTTCGTGGTAGTAAAGCACTTCTGCATGTTGAACTGTTGTGGCTGTGGTTTAGTAACTTAAGCCCTGAATAGTTAGACATTCTGGTCACTGATGACCTACGGAAGGAGAAGAGTTAACTCAAACATTCTGAAGAGAAAGAGGAAGGAAAATACATTCTGTGGCAGCGGAGGTTGCCAGAAAAGGCAATGAGCTGATGACCTGAGAAAACAAGCAGGGCTCTAGAGGGGCAATGCCAGTCAAAGAAACATTACATCCTGCTAAAATTAGAACAGATAAGCTTACCTCCTAGTACAGAGTCTTTAGGATTTAGATTTTCATTGAGGGGTGACCTGCCCCACAGGTAATGAAAGAGAAGGACTAGTTTGCAGAGTGCAGGATTATGTGATGATGAAAGAGATTAAGTTAGAGTTTCCCCTTATTATTTTCTATTATTGTTCCATATTTTGTCTGAGTTTTCTCTTATATTTTAATGTAAACAATAACAACAACAAAGGTCCTCACTCCCCATGAGAGGGCTACTGTTTTCATCCAGATTGATCAGGCTTCCCCTACCTGCTGTCATTTAGGAATGGAGAGGAAAGGAGGGACCCTATCACATGGACAGTTGACTTGGGGCCCCAGCTAAGGGCCCCAAGATGTTACAAAAATTAAAGCATGGGGAAAAAGTATAACCAAATTGGAAATATTAACTTTTGGCAAAGTTGGAAAACCAAACAGGTGTCTTCTCCAACCGATCATGAGTACTGTCTTCTTTCAACATGTAGATGAGTCTCTGTCAAGCAAGCAGTCATCAGCCAAATGTGAATGGTCTTTTGGTTCATGGGATGCCTCTACAGCCAAGAAATCTCTCCCTAATGGACAAGCTCCTGTAAGAAGTTCAACATTTTCAGACTATACAGTGTAAAAGGGAAATAGAGGGAAAGCAAAATCAGTTTATCAGTATGCATGTACTGAGTGCCGACCAAGCAACCACAAAAACTCCTGTGGAGTAAAACATCCAAGGGACATGTTCTCCACCATCAGGGGGCTGATAATATAACTGGAAAGAGAAGACATACATGGGTAAAAAGACCCCTAACCATATGCGGCACTTTTGTAACTGAGTGCCATGTGTATGCTGTCCAGAATGAGTGCTATGACAGCCCCAAAGCATTCTGGTTTAAGTGTAGGTTTTGAACTTGTCCTTGAAAGATGGGGCTTCAGATAAGCAAAGGAGAGCAGCAAGGGAATTCTAGGTAGGAGGAATGATATGGGGAAAGGTTTGGAGATAAGAAAATACAAAATACTTTGGAAAGATCATTTTTGAGATAGAAGAATGGAAGATAGGTCAGAACTTTAATGCTTGTGATCAAAGATAGCTGACAATCTTCTAAAATTAATAGGCCATGGTGTGGTTAGCGGGAAAGAAGTGACTATGGAACTAATAATGAATGTTAGGACCAGATTGTGGAGGGTTTTGAGTGCCATGGTTTTGGGATCATCCATGTTATGTATGACCTCCTCCCTTGCTGAGGAGTATTCTGTTGTAAGAATACACACGATTTATCTACCTGCTCTCCTGTTAATTAACACAGGTCATTTCCAGGTTAGAGGTATTACGCATAAAGGTACTCTAAATATTCTTGTATAGGTCTTTTTTGTGGTTTTACAGTTTCATTTCTCTTGAGTTGATACCTAGAAATGAAAGGGTCCTAGGACAGGTATATGTTCAGTTTCATAGGAAACTGCCATATGGTTTCCCAAAGGAGTTGTACCATTTTACACTCCTTCCAACAATGTATGAGTTTTGGTTTGGGAGCACATATATTTAAATCAGGAATCTGAAAGATCGATTTCACAGCAGTGTAAATGGAGTGGAAGGAACTGAAGGTAAGGGGTCAATGCAGGAATCCACGCGCGAGCTACTAAGGGTCTGCACTTGTGCAGCCACACAGGGTGAGAAAGGAATGAGCTATTTTGGGAGATACCGTCAAATAAGTGAAATTCTATAGAAATAGAGGAATCAAAGTTATCTCAGATTTCAAGCTTGAGAGAAGCCTGTGTTAGAAAAGATGGGTTTCTTTTGGGGTGTGTTTTCAGTGATGGGCCATCTCACTGGAAATGTGGAAGAGGTCGGATCTGGAGACTGATCTAAAAGTCACCTAGCTAGAGATGACAATCAAATCCAGAAGTTCATAGAACAAAATAAAGGTGAACATAGGGCAGCTAAAGCCTAAACCTTTTGTAATTAGAAAGCAGTTAGGGTGTGTTTAAAAAAAAAAAAAGAAGGCATAAGTGAATTGCTACAGAGGCAGGAAGACCAGAACAGTCTCCAGGTTTAGCCCTATTCCTTGATGGGGAGCATCCCTTCACAGTCCTCCAAGCACGGTGCCATGTTTTGCACTAGAGGACACCAAAGTGGACTGAAAGGTTGAGGAACTTGCTGAAAGCTGTAGGAGCAAACGGCAGAGCTTAGCTGCTTTATTCACTTTTCTTCCATTTAATTGTGCAGATACTCTTAGATGTCTTAAAATAGTCACTTGCTTTAAAAAAAAAAAAAACACAAAATACACCTGAATCTGTAGGCCAGTATTTAAGCTACTGAACTGTTTAGGTATGGTATTTTATTTATTGGATGACTTACAGAAGAGGGTTGTAGTTCAGTTATTGATGCAGATGGGGCTACTGTGGTCCCACAGCTCTGGCTCTGGGCAGCACAAGACCCTTTGCCCACTCCCAGCTTTCCAAGGAACCCAAACTCAAATCCCTGCCAGCTCCAACTTGCTCAGCACTTCAGTCTCTACAGTGGGAGCCACACTGGTGCCACAACTGCTCCCAAGCAGCAATATCTGTCTTTCAGTTGTCTTTCTGGTGACAATCTTTCAGCACAAAAGAATGCCTCAGACAGAGTAAGAATCAGCCTGTGGCAATTTTTGGGAAGCATTTTGTAGTAGGTGTCCTTCAGGCTTGCCTTCACTGGTGACTAAAAGTGACTGTGATGACGGGTGGATAACGGACTTGCTTTCCCAAATGTCCATTCTAGTAAATTATGATTGAAATAATGAATAGATTCTCACACCTTAGCTAGAGTACCATCTGGAAACTAGTGTTACTTATTGAAAGGTTTTAATTTTTGCTTTATTTCCCCCTAAATGTAGTTTCTAGTCTAAGGCTTTTTACCCCGTGAGTCTTGTCTTCCTGACATAGTGATCTTTACTTCATTGTGGGTTTCTGATTTGGCTACTAGAGATCTTGATGACAAGCTACTTATGAGGCCTGGGTCCAGTACCATCCTTTCAACTCGAAATTGGCCAAATCGAGCTGTGGAGTTTAGTACATCATCTCTGTCATACACAGCGCAGTCCACCAGGAGACGCAATCCACCGCCACGAACCCTTCATCCGATCAGCACCAGCCATTCACGTGCTGGAACACCAAGACCTATGGAAGAAATCCTCAGAGGAGCCCGAGTGTAGGTTTCAAAAGCAGAACTTCTGGAAACCGTGGTAAAACTAATTCAGTTTACATACAGAGTTAATTTAAACATAAGACTGAAATCTATGCCTAGAAACTAATCATTAAGTAGTCTTATGACAGATTGCCCATGGGTTTAGATCCAATAGAAAATTTTTTAGTGGGGTTAAAATTTATTTTATTTTTTAAGGTAGAGTCTCACTCCTGTCGCCCAGGCTGGAGTGCAGTGGCATGATCATGGCTCACTGCAGCCTCAACTTCTGAGCTCAAGTGGTTCTCCCACCCCAGCCTGCCAAGTAGCCGGGACCACAGGCGCGTGGTGCCACCATGCCAGGTTTATTTTTTGTGTTATTAGTAGAGACAGGGGTCTTGTCATGTTGCCCAAGCTGGTTTCAAACTCCTGAGCTCAAGCAATCTGCCTGCCTCAGTCTCCCAAAGTGCCGAGATTACAGGCGTGAGCCACTGCACCCAGCAGGGGTTAAATTTTAATGAAATAGATACTGAATCTTTCTGTTGATCTAGCTAAAGAGTTCTATGTCTATTTGTAAAAATAAAATGTTGGCTAGAATACTATATTGGGGTTACAAAAGGAATAAAGAACCTATTTATTTAATCAAACATTTTCCGTGGTGGGAACATATTTAGTGAAATTCACTCCAAAATAAGTTAATTCCCCTTTAAGGTTTTTCTGCACCATTGGGATCCGTTTATTCCATTGACAATGAAAACTTTATAAACCTCAGATAAGAAGTTGCTTACATACCAGGAAAAATATCCCTTACCACTTCCTAGGAAGTGACACTAAAATTAATCTCCTTTCCCACCCTTCATTCACTACACACTCTGAGCCTCATCATGCAAAAAATACCTAGGAACCAATTTTAAACATATAATTCTTTTAGCTGTTGATTCACAAAATGTCTTAGGATGATTAGTTTCTTTTTTTTTTTTTTTTTTTTTTGAGACGGAGTCTCACACTGTTGCCCAGGCTGGAGTGCAGTGGCGCGATCTCGGCTCACTGCAAGCTCCGCCTCCTGGGTTCACGCCATTCTCCTGCCTCAGCCTCCCAAGTAGCTGGGACTACAGGCGCCCGCCACCGCGCCCGGCTAATTTTTTTTTTTGTATTTTTAGTAGAGACGGGGTTTCACTGTGGTCTCGATCTCCTGACCTTGTGATCCACCCGCCTCGGCCTCCCAAAGTGCTGGGATTACAGGCTTGAGCCACCGCGCCCGGCCAGGATGATTAGTTTCTAAAAATATCCTCCAAGGTATGAAATAATAAGGCCACAGCAGTGTTTTCAATTCAGCTTCCAAGTTAAGCATTATTATGTGGATGTAGATGTATCTATACCAACAGAGCTATAAATTCATTCATTTGGGGATGAGTAGTCTTGATGTATGATTAATCTCTCATTCCTTCTTACAGTACTTTTTTTCAAAGTTGAAAAGTAAGTTGCTTTATTACTTCTGGGGCATGAAATTATCATTCAGTTTCAATTACTGTCTTAAGGATGAGGAATACTGCAAGCTGCTCCAGATCCTACTGAAGGGAATGAAGGTTTAGGAACTCTACCCGAGAACTATGGTTATTAGGGAGAAGGATAACCAGAAGGTCCAGAACTGTCAAGAATTCCATCATCAGCTGGGAATTTACAAATTTAAATCAGCAGAGAAGTGCAATACCAGATAAGGACAAATGTTTTATTCCAGTTCTGTGGGAGAGAAAAGGTCAGCTTCTGTTGTATACCCAGAGTATAGAGCTTCAAAACAAAATCAGAAAACACTATTTTAAAAACTAATTTTCCAAAAATCCTGAGATCTCTACTTAAAAACATAGGCAGCCTAAAGCTTTCTGTGCACATTAAACTCATCTGCTTCATTTATCTGATTTCTAATCAATTTGCTGGTATTGTTATAACTTCATGCTTTCATACCTTGGTGTTTGTTGGTGGTATCTGCAGCCCAGTGGCAGCCGACTCGCTCTCCTCTCCCTCACCAATGCCCCTGAGTCGAAATAATCTGCTACCACCTATTGGCACAGCTGAAGTGGAACATGTGAGCACTGTGGGGCCACAAAGACAGACGGTATGTTTCTTTCTTATTGCCTCTCCATGTACTTACCATACAACCTCATGGGCAGTAATTCTGCAGGATCTGTGCCCTGATCTTGATTTATACTGTGTTTTGTCAAAAGTACAAACAGTGTGATAATTTATGACATGGAATTGGAGCTGTTTGGCCTGCACTTATCATATCTGCCATGGTCAATAGGGTTTTTAACTACATACCACACTACGGATAGTTTTCACTGTTTCTGTAACTTCTGTCTCCTCTGCAGAAACCCCATGGCGACTCTACTCGAGCTCAAAGTGCGGTGGTGGATGAACCTAACTATCAGCAGCCACAAGAAAGGCTCCTTTTGCCCGACTTTTTCTCCAGGCCCAACACAACTCAATCATTTTTGGTAGAGTGACATACTTCCTAGAATGGTCTTGATAGTTGGGGAAAGAAAACGTGGGGGAATACTAGTTTGGCAGACTTAAGACTTTATCTAGAGGCTTAACTCAGAATAAAAGTTGAGTTTCCAACAATAAAAACAGTGTTATAAATACATTTTGTTCAAATTCTCACTAGTCCCTGATGCCTATTCTTTAATGTCTTATACAGAAATCACAAATTCTAAGCAATTTAACACTTAGATATGTCTGACCACAAGCAAGAATATTAAATCCCAGTGCATATCAGATAAGCATAACTTCATTGTGTAACCCTTTTCTTCTGGAATTACATCAAAAGTGGTCTCAGATTATGATGAATCCTGATGGATGAGTGGGTTGGGACTTTTAATAAAAAATTTTTTTCAGAAGCAGGCTCTTGCCATGTTGGCCAGACTAGACTTGGAACTCCTGCACTCAAGCAATCCTGCCTTAGCCTCCCAAGTAGCTGGGACTACAAGTGCACACCACTGCACCCAGTTTAGGACTTTTTCTTTCTACTGGTGTTTTAAATGCTGATACTACCTACCATTTATTGTGCATTTACTAGTCTTATCAGCAATGGGGTCATGCACTGACCTTCCCCATTTGTAGGCTGGGAGCTCGACCCCACATAATCTGCTTTGTGGCAAGAGCGCTTGGAGAGCCTGGGGAAGTAACCAGGGACCCCACATCCTGGAAGTTTTTGGGATGGTGGTGTTTACAGCACACTTGTCCCAACTCATGACCCCTGAACCACAGCAGGCTAAAGCACTGCAAAATTTTTCTTCTATGAGAAGAGTGGTAAGGATAATCAATACCAAGACCTCTGTATTAGTTTCTTAGGACTTAAGAAATGACCAACAACTAGGTGCCTTAAAACAGCAGAAATTTTTTCCTCACAGTTCCAGAGACGAAAAGTTCAAAAATCAAGGTGTCAGCAGGGCTATGCTCCCTTTGCAGGGTCTAGGGAAGAATCTTTTTGTCTCTTCCTGGATTCTGGTGACCACCTGTGATCCCTGGTGTTCCTTGGCTTGCAGCTGCATCACTCCCAATTTCTGTTTTTTTTTTTTGAGACAGAGTCTCGCTCCGTCACCTAGGGTGGAGTGCGATGGCGCGATCTCAGCTCACTGCAACCCCTGCCTACTGGGTTCAAGCAATCCTCCTGCCTCAGCCTCCCCAGTAGCTGGGACTACAGATGCCCAACACCACGCCCAGCTAATTTTTGTATTTTTAGTAGAGACGGGGTATCGCCATCTTGGCCAGGCTGGTCTTGAACTCCTGACCTCAAGTGATCTGCCCACCTCAGCCTCCCAAAGTGCTGTGATTACGGGCGTGAGCCACTGCACCTGGCCTTTTTTTTTTTTTTTTTTTAAGACAGGGTCTCACTCTGTTGCCCAGGCTGGAGTGCAGAGCACAGCTCACTGCAGCCTCAACAGCCTGGGCTTAAGTGATCATCTCACCTCAGCCTCCTGAGCAGCTGCGACTACAGGCGCATGCCACTACGCCCTGCTGAATCTTTTATTTTGTAGAGATAGGGTGTTACTATGTTGGCCAGACTGGTCTCAAACCCTGAGGCTCAAGTGATCCTCCCACCTCAGCCTCCCAAAGTGCTGGGACTACAGGCATGAGCCACACACCCAGCCTGCCTCTGTCTTTACATGGCTTTCCTCCCTGTGTGTCTGTGTCCAGGGTTCCCTCTTCTTATAAAGATACTAGTTGCTGAATTTAGGGCCCACCCTAATCTAGTGTGACTTTACCTTGATTCATCTGTGAAGACCCTATTTCCAAACTTGGTCACATTCACAAGTTCCAGGTGGGCATAAATTTTGAGGGAACACTGTTCAACCTAGTAGACCCCATAAGGTTGACTTAGGGAGAAACTCACCAAAAACAAGAACAAAAAGGAAACATGAGCATTTCTGATTCTTGGGGTTCAGTGTGAACCCCAGAAAGTTTGAGAACTTCTACTGAATTTGCCTTCTCATAATCTGATATAGGACATTTATTAAGTAGTACTTAATGATTGTATTACACAGCTAGATTCTCTCAAACTTTTTTTTTCTTGAGACGAAGTCTCCCACTGTCGCCCAGGCTAGAGTGCTGTGGTGCAATCTCAGCTCACTGCAGCCTCTACCTCCTGGGTTCAGTCGACTCTCCTGCCTCAGCCTCCTGAGTAACTGGGACTACAGGCATCTGCCACCACACCCAACTATTTTTTGTATTTTTTTAGTAGACAGTGTTTCTCCAAGTTGCCCAGGCTGGTCTTCAACTTCTGACCTCAAGTGATCCCCCTACCTTGGCCTCCCAAACTGCTGGGATTACAGGTGTGAGCCACCACTCCATTCTCAGCCAAACATTTCATTTTTTTAAGAGACAAGTGTCTCACTACATCACCTAGGCTGGAGTGTAGTGGTGCAATCAGCAGCCTCAAACTCCTGGGCTCAAGTGATCCTCCCACCTCAGCCTCCCAAGTAGCTGGGATTACAGGTGTGCACCTCTGCACATGGCTAAAAATGTTTAATTTTTTATTGCTTTAGGAATAAAACCGAGCAGATGAAAACATTTCAGTCTTCTCTTTAGGTTTATAACAAAAAACAAAGTAAAAATTACTTACCATTTCTCTCCCCATTTGCTGTCATAAAAAGGGAGATAGATAGTTGCTCAGTTTATTAAGAATGCTAGCTGTGAGACAGGCACAGTGGCTCACACCTGTAATCCCAGCATTTTGGGAGGGTGAGGTGGGCAGATCACCTGAAGTCAGGAGTTTGAGACCAGCCTGGCTAACGTGGTGAAACCCATTTCTATTAAAAATACAAGAAAATTAGCCAGGCATGGTGGTGCACACCTATAATCCCAGCTACTCAGGAGGCTAAGCCGGGGAGGCGGAGGTTGCAGTGAGCCGAGATTGCGCCATTGCACTCCAGCCTGGGCAACAGACCGAGAAGACTCTGTCTCCAAAAAAAACGAATGCTAGCTGTGAGTCCTGGGCCTGGCACTACAGACTAGCACTTCGCTCCTTGCTGTTTTCATCTAGAATAGGGGCCAGTAAACTACAGTTCCTGGGCTACTCATTCGGCCTACCACCTTGTTTTGTAAATAAACTTTTATTGGAACAGTGCCACCAAGCTCATGTGTTTTTTTTTTTTTTTTTTGAGACTGAGTCTGGCTCTGTCGCCCAGGCTGGAGTGCAGTGGCCGGATCTCAGCTCACTGCAAGCTCCGCCTCCCGGGTTCACGCCATTCTCCTGCCTCAGCCTCCGGAGTAGCTGGGACCACAGGCGCCTGCCACCTCGCCCGGCTAGTTTTTTGTATTTTTTAGTAGAGACGGGGTTTCACCGTGTTAGCCAGGATGGTCTCGATCTCCTGACCTTGTGATCCGCCCGTCTCAGCCTCCCAAAGTGCTGGGATTACAGGCTTGAGCCACCGCGCCCGGCAAGCTCATGTGTTTATGTGCTGTCTATAGCTGCCTTCATACCATAACAGCAAGGCTGAGTAGTTGCAACAACCACCCTATGGTCCACAAAGCCTAATATAATAACTATCTGGCCCTTTACAAAAAATAAGTTTGCTGACCCTTGATCTCAAAAATATAGGGGCTTCACCAGAAAAAAACTTCCTGAAATCTCTTGATTTCAGTGCTCTCTCAAGGGAACTACTGGGGGATGTTTTTAATCCATAAGCCCCAGCAGGATGTCATATATAGCTTTATCTGATATTTGTATTTTAATATTTTAGTCATATCTCTACAATTTTTAATTCCTTGAGGTAACTGTGAAATGTTTGCATTTCATAACGCTAAAAAGTAAATGTAAAGTTAAATTTCAGGATGGTGGTAAAGTCATAAGTATTTCAATGTTGCTGAAAAGGCTGGTTCTGTTTTAAATGAAAGCATTCATTTAAAATATATGCAGCAGCCAACAAAAAGAAATCAGACAAACTCCCTTAGAAGCTAACTGAAATATTAAACCATACAGATTATTTATAAATGCTGATTTTCTTAACGGCATAGTAATAACATTGAAGAATATGCAATTTTTACAATAAATGGCTTTGTGGGCATCTGGCTTGGGGTTTTCTACTTGAAATTCAACACAGTGCACTCAGCTGACTTTTCCCTCAGGTTGGTAGTCTATGCCTTTTACACTGTTGATTTCAAGGTTTTCCTGTGAACCTGATAAATATTATCCTTTGTGAGAAGCTGCATCCTAAGAAGTGTCTCCTCTTTTTCTCTTTTAGCTGGATACACAGTATCGTCGCTCGTGTGCAGTTGAGTATCCGCATCAGGCCAGACCTGGCAGGGGATCTGCAGGTACAGGTGGAGCCACGGCCCTTATTTACTACTGTGTGGTTAAGACTCAGCCTTTGTCTTTTTTCCTACATCTGTTTCCCCTTCTTTCAGATTTTCTTGGATTTATTGTTTTCTCACATCTTTGTAAATCACCTAAAATTCATTTTGGAACATGAGGTATAATAAAAAGCTAGGAGGGTTCTATTGCTCAGAGCCAAAAAGTTTCAATTCTTGTTTTCTTCACACCATGTAAATTAACTTCTCACTACTTTCGTAAACTGCTTTGTTTTTTAATCTAAAAAGTTTAACCCAAATTAGTCCTTATTATAACGTTCAAAATATTCTTTGAGAACATGGCATGGATTTTGTTATGTAAGCAAAAGTCATATTCCTATGGATTAAACTGCTTTGATTAGTTAATCTGTTAGGCCAAGGTAAGAAAAGAAATTCTAAACCATCAGGATATGCTAAGTCTGATTCTATCCCATTAACTCTTTTTATCTTTAAACTATACTCTGTAGATATACTAACAAAGAAGTGATGGGAGAAAATTGAGGGATTTTTTTTTTGAGACAGTCTCACTCTGTTGATCGGGCCAGAATGCAGTGGCACGATCATGGCTCACTGTAGCCTTGAACTCCTGGGCTCAAGGGATCCTCCCACCTAAGCCTACCACAAGGGGCTATAAGCAGTGCCACCATGCCCAGCTAATTTATTTTTTGTACAGACAGGGTCTCACTATGTTGCCCAGGCTGCAGGATGTCTTAATTCTTCCTGTGACAGTCTTACCACCATCAGGGTCATTCTTATATATGCTCAAGGTAAATTTATAAGTAATGAACAGTTGAGATGTTTCCTGTTAATAAGATTAATCAGCAACTACAGTAAAAAACTAGTCTGCCTCAAACCATCTTTGTAGTCCAAGTGATTTCCCAGCTCAGTTCCCGGTAGCACTGTCTGGTAGAGTCTTTGAATGCTTTCGTCAGATTCTGCTTTCAGATCTGCATTTGAACTACCATTTCAGCTACATTGAAAGTCAGGTATAACTGGCCGGGTGTGGTGGCTCACACCTGTAATCCCAGCACTTTGGGTGGCTGAGGCGGGCAGATCACGAGGTCAGCAGATCGAGATGATCCTAACACAGTGAAACCCCATCTCTACTAAAAATACAAAAAATTAGCCGGGTGTGGTGGTGGACACCTGTAGTCCCAGCAACTTGGGAGGATGAGGCAGGAGAATGGTGTGAACCCGGGAGGCGGAGCTTGCAGTGAGCTGAGACAGTGCCACTGCACTCCAGCCTGGGCCACAGAGCGAGACTCCATCTCAAAAAAATAAAGAAAGGTGTAACTAATGTTAACACTGAAGTGAGTAAATCAGACATCTTGGTTCTTTTTAATTAGTGGGCTCTTCTGCAAAACTAGTTCACTGCTTTCATACCTTAAGAAAGTCCAATTCATAACTGGAGCAAAAAAGCCCTTAGCTATAAACTTGAGAGTTATTATCAAACCTAGACTGCCTACTAATGTTACTCTATGTCATCTGACAGGTCCTCAGTTACATGGGTCTACAAAATCTCAAAGCAGAGGCGGACCAGTCTCTCGAACCAGGCAGGGACCATAAGGCAAATGAGAAGAACCTGTCAGGCTGCAGGAAACACGAGATTTCATGAAGCCGTATTCAGTCATCAAGTGATGTAGAGCTTGTATAGAAGATCGACTAGAAACCATCTTCATGAAGGGTGATTTTGGCACAAGTGACTGAAGAACAAAACAGCACAGCCGCCAAAAATGACATGCGTGTTTTTTCTATCTCCAGTTACTGTCTCTTTCAGCAGAAATTAACCTATTCCATTGGAAAGAAAAGTTTGTACCCAAAGATGCAACAATGAATAATAGCCAAATCACTGCTCATGTTGTCTCTTAACAATGATCAGTTCAATCATATAGGATTTGATGAGCTCACACATACATAAAAAGCAGCAAATGGTCAGTGACAATATCACTGGCTTCAGAATACTTCAGCTTGTGTTCATTTCTGGAGAGCTATACTCAGTTTTAAGTCATTTTGCTATCAAAAATCTGACCTCATCCAACAGACGTCATTTCTAAAACTCTCTTTAGATGTCCTACCCTATTAACAGATTAAAATGGAAGGGGTGTGTAACTAAAGACATAAATGTTAAGCATTAAAGTAACTTCTGTAATAAAGTATATTGCATATTTTTTTAGATAGGACAGTTCAACCTTATGATGCCTACCTGATGCCGGGTTATGCTTATTTTCTTCCTAAAGTAGGTTACTGGTCATATCTTTTTTCCAAATATTAAATGCACCTTGCCAGATATTCTCCTGCAACTCTAAGGAAAGGAAGTCAAAAAATAATTTGTAGAATCTACTATTGGGCCAAAGTATAATTCCCTAAAAGTTTAAGAAACCCTGGCAATTAATTCAGCATAAACATATCCTATAAACAGCAGGAGAGGTTCAGCTTTCTGACTTTACTGTGGACCTAAGGGCATTCATGAAAGCAGCAACAGTTTTAACTATGGCTTAAATTTATTTTAAATTTCACTAAATACAAATCTTGATTGTCATGCCAGTTTTAGATCTTATTAATTTTCAGAATGGATAAATTCAATAATCATAAATTGCAATAACTTTTTTTTTATACCAAGGTGTTCTAATGCCATCATATGAAGACAGATGCTTCAAAGAACCTGCACTAAATTATATTTTTAATACAATTAAAAACTATTTTTAACCTATTTGTAGTCACAAACTGAAAATGTGTCATCTTTACCTTAGAGCTAAAGGCTTACTTTATGCATATGGCATATTTAATAGTCTAAAAATCAAACATTTAAACAGTTCCTAAAAAAGTTCCATATATTCTCATACCAACTCATCTAAATAGAAATGAAAATCTCTGTATTGTTCTCACAAACCATTACCAAAAGTTCACTATAACAATTAGATCGCCCGGGCGCGGTGGCTCAAGCCTGTAATCCCAGCACTTTGGGAGGCCGAGACGGGCGGATCACGAGGTCAGGAGATCGAGACCATCCTGGCTAACACAGTGAAACCCCGTCTCTACTAAAAAATACAAAAAACTAGACAGGCGAGATGGCGGGCGCCTGTAGTCCCAGCTACTCGGGAGGCTGAGGCAGGAGAATGGCGTGAACCCAGGAGGCGGAGCTTGCAGTGAGCTGAGATCCGGCCACTGCACTCCAGCCTGGGTGACAGAGCCAGACTCCACCTCAAAAAAAAAAAAAAAAAACAATTAGATCAATATGGCTTGCCTTTCAAAGTTAAAGAGTCAGAAAGGGGCCTCTAAGAAGTCATTTAGCCCAATTCCCTCACCTTGTTTTCCCTCAAAGCCGGTGCAATTTTTTTTAAACCAAAAAACTGGACATATTTAATACATACAGTTTGACAAGTTTGTATTTCACTCTTTGTTTTGATGTAATAACTTTTATAAAAGGAGACAGATGTTCAGACAAGCTCAGTGAAAGACATTCAGCAATCAGTGGCAGGACTACAACACACATCTCTCTATGCTAGGGAAACCAAGCTCTCTATTATAAAGCTGACAGGGGCTATTGTTTTCCACTTTTCTCTCATCCTAAACACCATTCGCATTTATTCTAGGTCACATTTTTACTGGGATCATTTACAAAGCCCCCAGAACTTAATCATCATGTTTTACTTTTTTTATTTAATCATATACAACTCTTACAAAAATGCTTGAAGTAATTTAACACCCGTACATCAGTACAAAACCTGGCTGAGTAAAATGAAGAGAGGGTCTATTCAAGATCATTAAGACCAAATGTAAACTGGGAAGTATGTGGAAGACAGCTGTCCAGCAAGTATTTGGAAGATGTTCTAGCTGGGTAGAGAGCCTAATCTAACAGACACGCACACTGCAGAAAACAGCATGAACAGAACCACATCTTAGATAAGAGTTCTGTGTACCGAAGATCTATGGAGGCAAGTGCTGTCAGGAAGGACACTACCTCCCTCCGCCCTCCCAACCGTCACCACCAAGTTCCTTCTGGTAAGACCTCACACAATGTCAAGTGCTTTCTAGGAAATACTAAGATGCTTGGTCTAGTCAATCTGAAAAATTCAGGCTGGAAAGACACCTTTTCTCAAGAGTTGACTTTTGCCTTCAAATCTTGCCTGCACCTTGCCTACCATGGCATCAATTTACACCTAAGGACCTTTGAAGAGAAAAATTCCATTATTTCTTTTCTTTCTTGAGAGATTTTTTCCCTCCTCCTTTGGAAGATTTGCAGTACTTTGCTTCCATCTGAGCCAGAAAATTGTCCATTTCCTTTTGCCGATCCTTTTGTCTGCTCTGTTTGAGAAGTTAAAACACAAGCTTTCACAACATTATCCATAGACAGAAGGTACTTAGTGGATGCCAGGGGCTGGAAAAGTGGAGTAACTACTAATGGGTAGGAGTTTTTTTGGAATGGTGAAAATGTCCTACAATTGGTGTTAATAATTGTAAAACTTTGTAAATACATTAAAAACCACCAAACTGTACACTTTAAAAGGACAAACGGATGGTATGCGACTTATGTCTTAAAAGAAGAAAACAAAATACAACATTCCAAAGAAAATATTAGCAATAGGAATCAGATCATTAAAGATGTGGCAACAAACTGCCAAGTTTACCTGAATGGCTGCCTTCAGGCTATCCACGCCTTCATCAAGCCCCAACTCCTTTCTGCTCATTTCTGCTTCTTTCGCCTCTTCCTGAGCCTGAAACAGAAACTCACATGAGACTCAGGGCCACCAGAAAATGCTTAAAATACATTCTCTTTCCCAAAAACAAATCTATAATACTGTTTCAATTTGAGGATTATATGAATAGACAAAATGAACAGAATTACATAACTATGTCATTCATTAAAAGGCAACAATGCTGATAGCAAGCATAGATCCTCCGATTCCAATTACCATTTGTTTTTTCCCCAATTCTACTTACTAGAGGTAGGAAGTACTTTGGCACTCATAAATCACATGGTGATAAAAGGGAACATGAGGCCAGATATGGTGGCTCACACCTGTAATCTCCATACCTTGGGAGGCCAAGGTGGGAGGATTACTGGAACTCAGGTGTTTGAGACCTGCCTGGTTAACACAGCAAGACCTCATCTCTACAAAAAATAAAAGAAATGAGCCTGGTGTGGTGGTATGTGCTTGTAGTCCCAGCTACTAGGGAGGCTGAGGTGGGAAGATGGCTTCAGCCTGGGAGTTCGAGGCTGCACTGAGCTGTGATCATGCCTCTGCACTCCAGCCTGGATGATAGAGTGAGATGCCATCTCTTAGAAAAAAGAAGGAAAAAAAAAAAGAAAGAAAGAAAATGATGCAATTGCCAGGATACAGGTACTTCCAATTCCTCCCCTGGAAACCCAATTTACTACATGGGACTGGTGGTGCCTTGTGAACAACCCCAGTTTAAAATGACTTCTGGGTAGTCAGAAGAAACAACATCAATAAACTCAGTTTTAACATTTACTTACCTGATTTCAAAACAGCCTTCCTTTGCCAAGTGTTCCTAGAGCATTGTTTACAAAATACCACAAGCACACCTTAGGGTAACAACTATAAGATGCCCCAACACCCCTTGTGAATTTTCTAACTAGCAATTAATGCTATTAATACTGAGGATGATGATACATTAGAATCCCCATCCCAATAAGACACCCATTTCCTTGTATTCAAATTATCTCTTTAAATTCAGCATCCCCCTAAGGTTTGTTGAACAGTCTCTCAAAACTATGCCATTTTTCTCCTCAAACTCTAGGGAAGTTTCTCAAGTTAACAGTCTACTGTGAATGCAGCTGTGCTCAGTTTCATCTCAGGAAATGAACAACTTAAGATTTGACTGTCAGCTTGAGTCTTAGCAGGTGTAGCCTATGAACCAAAATGCTCTTGATATACACTCCACTGCTCCCCTCAGCTCACCAGAAAGGTCAGCCTCTTATTTAGGCAAAACAGGCCCTTTGAATTTTCACCGGAATCAAAAACGTCAGCTTTCTCTCCGCATGCATCTCCTATGTAAAAGCTGCAGAAAAGTTCCTGAGGGCACTCATGAGAGCAGCAATGGTTCTAAAAGTTGTGTGCTCCTTAAGAGAATCTAATGCCTGATGATCTAAGGTTTCATCCTGAACTACCCGCCCCCCAACTCTCCTCACCCCCACTGTCACTGAAAAAACTGTCTTCCACAAAACAGGTCCCTGGTACCAAAATGGTTGGGGACGGCTGAAGTTTTTCTTTAAAAAAAAGAAAGAAAAGAAATTCTGTGTTCAACTCAAGAATCAAACTCTGGGCAAAGGCCCAAAAATCTGCACTTTTAACAAGACAGTCTCTCTCATTCTCTTTTTACCCCCTCAACCGAGTAAGGATCACTGCCCATCCTGTGTACCTGGGTTCCACTAACTTTATCTCCTGAGAAATGCCTCAGCAATGCTGTAAGAATTGGCCCAGAAGAAAAAAGATTTCAGTGCTACTTTACTATGGTAATTTTAAACAATCTATGCAATAAAAATCATCTTAAGCACAACATACTAGAAAAAGGTTTCTCTTGATGAACTGGTATGCCCATTTTATTAGATCAGAACTGTAGATCAAGTTAACCCTAGTCCTTACTTCTGGAGTTTTATATTTACTTCCACTGCTGTAAATACCCTCAAATCCTTTTTGGAAGCAGTCAAAATATAAATCAACAGTATTCAAAATCTTACCCTTCTTTTCCTTGCATTCATCTTTTGTTTCGATTCTTTGACAAAGGCATTATAGGATGGGATCTCTCCAGTGTCAATAGCCTGCTGAATGATACTCCTTATCCTAGGTTCCTCTGTGTACTGCACGCAAAGCACAGACTCCATGATCTGATCCATGTCACCCTTGAAGTCCAGATAGGCCTGTTTAATATCGGCCAGCTCTTCTTCCGAACCTTTGTATGTCTTTTCAAAAGCTTGAATGTCCTCTAAAGATATCTGATAACAAAGGAGATTTGCTTTAACTTTGAGGATTTTACTTTAAATAAAAGATACATTAGTAAAACTAGAGTTAGGTGTTGAATTGCTGCAATGCAACAGTTGCTTGAGTTGAAATTATTGAACCAAATTTTCTATGCTTTAAGCTTTTCCGGAGTCCTCCTTTTTAAATCCAATCTTCGTATCTGCTAACTAGGGACCAGAGAAGTTTCCAACGGTGAAAGGAGATCCAGAATCAGGACTTACATTTGGATATGTAAAATAAAGAACATCCTGCAAAAAAAAAATAAATCTGCCCTTTTCAGTGCAACAATCACATTAACAGGAAATTTAAAGCCTGTTTCAGTAAGTGTGCGTGTATTTATATTTCAAGGCCAAACTCAAAAATTCTAATTCCTACAAAATTAACACAAAATACAAGATCTTAGAGGCAGTCAATAAAGGTTTGTTGATGGATGGTAACAGCCATAAAGAAATCTCCAGAGTCCTTTACCTTTTTAAAGAGTAGCCGCCAATACGCCTCCCAGTCTCGGTCTTGGGTGAGCACAAGAGAGTCCTCGTCCACTGTTCCCTGCTCATCGTACGCTGCTCTCTGTTCTCTGTCACTGAGAACGGAATAGACTTTTCCCAGGATCTGAGGGCAGAGAGTATCCGTAAATCGCCCCTGCTCCTCCCACCGAAACCGCGGCGCGAGAAATAAAGATCAGAAGGCGGCGCCAAGCGGAGCTCAGCGCGCTCCCCCGGGACGGGGCCCGGCGGCCAAAAGGCTGGGGACATCCTGGCGGCCCGTCGGCCTCGGGGCGTGACCCCGCATACCTGGAAGCGACGGGTGGCGTCCTCTTTGTCGCCCTCGCCCACCCGGTCCGGGTGTACCTGCAGGGACACCTTGTGGTAGCCTCGTCGGACCTCGCCGTCGGAAGCCTCGCGTCGCACACCCAGCACCCGGTAAAGGTCGGCGGTGCCGAACACTTCCTCGCAAAGCTCCAGCAGCCCCATGCCGGGCAGGGATACGACCTCAGAGGAAGCAGCTGCTGCCAACCGTGCCGGGTACAACCCAGGACTGCTTCTTTTTCCCGCCCAAAATGCCCAGGGCGCCTGCGTCACAAGCACTGAAGGGGCGTGACCACCCCCCCCCTCCCGCGCGCATCCGCGCTTTACGGCGGCCGCAAAACGAGCCGTGACGAGGCAGGCGCGGGCCCGAGTAAATAACACTGGCGCGTGGAGTCGGAGTCCTAGGCCGGCCGCGCGCAGGAGCCAGGTCTTCAAGGAAGTGATGTTGCTCGGTTCTCTCCTCCCCTTGCTCTGGAAATCTGGCGTCCGTCTTACCTTTTAGTGTCCCAGAACAGCTTTTTCAAAAAGTTCATATATTAGCTTGAATTTACAAACTGCTGGCCTATTTTTTAAGTAGAAAATGGCCAAACATCAGCATTCAGCAATTTCACATGGTTCAACAGATTTTTTTTCAAAAATGTTCCCGAAAGGAACAGGTAAAGCTGTAGGCCCAAATAATTTTGCACCCCACTGGTTGGAAATGCTGGGGTACTTTCCCTCTAGCCCTGCAGGAAAAACTCTATACTGAAACCCAAAAAGCACAAAACACAAAAACTCTTACCTAACAGGACTTTCACCTTACACATTGGTGGAGGTAACATGACCCAAGCCCCCGTCTTAATAACAAACTGCTGAAGCAAAGGCGCTTTCTTTTAATAATCTGTGAAGTTCACAGCTGGGTTTGAACATGTTGGATCCCAGGTGGCAGCAGGGTAGGCTGGAGCAATCATCCAAGAGATGGTGAGAAACTTGGGCCTGGAGACCCAAAGCAAGGCTGAAGCTGGGGATAAAACTTTGGAAGTAGGAGAAGCTCACAAAGGAAGTATGCGTATACATGTATTAGACAAAGGATAAACAATGCTAAGTGAATACCCGAGTTGGCAGAAAAATACCTTATCAAATCTTATCCCGACTGATTTAGCATTTTTCAGAATCATTCTGCTCTGCCAATAAGTTTCTGCAAAGCCTCAAACTCTCCAGGATACATTAATATCTTTTAAACCTCCCAGGGTTGCCATGATTTTCAAAGCATTTCTCTTTCCCACATCCAAGATCAAACTCAGCTGAAGTCAGTTCCTCTCAACCTGCCCTGGCATCAAAGTCTCAAAGCAAGCAGGGGCCAACCAGCAACAACCCCGGGGGGGGGTTGCCAACCACAGAATTTAAGATGGCTGGTAATCGTTCTCAGAACATAAAACACAAAATAAGTGGGCACATTGACAGAACCTCCTCTATAAATTTCCTATATCTTAGTCACATAACAGAGTTAAGACATCTGTCTTTGCTCATTTTTTTCCCCTCTATGGACAACATAATATGTTGGGAAGGGCTTTCCAGGAGGGCACAACTGGGGTATGAATCTTACATCACTGGGCAAGTTTCCACCTCTAGGCCTCAGCTTCCCTATCTGTAAAACAGAGATAATCCTACCTGCCTTCATGCCTTACAATCGTCACGAATAATCTTGTACACAAAAGGCCTAGGACATATGTAGGTGCTTTACGATATTATCTTTCTTCCAGTTTCTCATATTTTTTAAGGTACTCAAATACATCAATTTTAACATTTTTCTATATACACATTTGCTACTGAAAATTGAAATAGCACATTGAAATACTCTTTTATTGCAACTAAAATTTTCAAAAAAACAGAAAATCAAATTAATTATTATGCTGTAGCCAAATTATGTAATGTTTTCTTTTCTTCTTGAGACAGGGTCTTACTCTGTCACCCAGGCTGGACTGTAGCGGAACAATCACAGTTAAGTATCGGCCTCCTGGGCTCAAGTGATCTTACTGCCTCAGCTTCCCGAGTAGCTGGAACTATGTGTGAGCACCACCACACCCAGCTAATTTTTAAATTTTTTGTAGAGATGGGGTCTTGCTGTGTTGCCCAGGCTGGTCTCAAACTGGTCTCAAGTGATCCTTCCACCTCAGCCTCCCAAAGTGCTGAGATCACAGGTGTGAGCCATTGCCCCAATGGTATCTTTATATTATTTCCTCACAAGTTACTTCAAATTCTTGATGTTGAATTTCATCTCACTGACTTCAGGCTTTTAAAACACATGGGAATGCTTGAGACCTATGGATAGTTGTGAGTCAAATAAAAAAGTAGAGCTAAAGTATACTGAAGTTATTCAAATACATTCAAACTGTAAGATCCCTTATAAATTACTGGCATCAAAGTAGGAAGGAAAAGATACAGGAAGTAAAATGCATCACTCATCACAGGTTGTCAAAATTATTGGTATACAGTTTATCCTAACACAGAGCAGGTTTCTTAACCGTCTCCATAAAATTACCAGCAAGAAAGAAAAGTACAAGAATAAGGTTCACAGCTGAATTGGCTTGGTGTCCTAATTCCCTATTCCAGTATTCTCAGAAGGATCCCATCTATGATATATGCAGAAATCACAGCCACATTTGAATGGTTCAATCTTGATTCATTCTGAACTCCCTTAAGCCCAGTAGTTTCTCATTCTTAAAAGGTAGGTTATTAAACCCCAAAAGCAATTTTCATAACAAATTTACATTTGTATGTTTAAGAATATGCATTAAGGCCGGGAGTGCTGGCTCACGCCAGTAATCCCAGCACTTTGGGAGGCCAAGGTGGGCGGATCACAAGGTCAGGAGATCAAGACCATTCTGGCCAACATGGTGAAACCGCATCTCTACTAAAAATAAAAAAGTTAGCTGGGTGTGGTGGCACACACCTGTAGCTCCCCAGCAACTCGGAAGGGTGAGGCAGGAGAATCGCTTGAACCCAGGAGGTGGAGAGTACAGTAAGCTGAGATTGCACCACCGCACTCCAGCCTGGCAACAAAGCGAGACTCCATCTCAAAAAAAAAAAAAAAAAAAAAGAATATGCATTAAGCAAGACAATATAAATCTCCAGTTACAAAATCAGTAAGAAAGGTAACTGTTCTTACACTTGCGAGATGAACATGAAGATTTGAACAAGCCGTGAATAGTCTGGCTGGGGGTTTTGAAGCAGGATGTCTTGGAAGCCAGTAGATTGTAAAGTTGTCCAAGAGACCCAGAGCCCCACTCAAAAGTCCAATCCTCCCACAGTCACTGTCTATCCCAAGACAAAGTCCAAAAAAGCTAATTAGTACCCACATCCAGCGCTAAGTCACACAAGAATAAATCTCTCCATGGGCCCTGTGCAGGTCAGGCCAGAAGAGCAAGGACAACTCAGGATACTCCATTTATTGAACTCCAAATCTAACAAAATTAAGATCTCTGCAGAGTGTTTCAAGAGAACCTTGACTTTGTTCCCACTGCTATGCTCACTAAAGTCAGCTCACTTATGTTTCTGTAGCCTCTGTATCTGTAGCTTCTGCATCTGTTTTCTGAGAAGCTAAGAGGACTTCACATGCCCGTTTCCTTCGCAGTCTCTCAGCATTTGTGATCATCATAGGATGCAGAGGGAAAAAGCCAGCAAGACCTAAAAGCAACAGATTTTTCACTTATTATAACACCGTATAAGCCAATGCTTCCCTAGGAACTCTGTCTCACAGAACTGAGGTCTGAGATCTGACCCAGTGCATGGATGCAAACCATGCTCCTCACTTGCCAAACTCTGTACTGCTTCTCCCCGGCAAGGAGACAGTGGATGTCTACTTCCTAATAATATTCCCCTTACTTTAAAAAAGATAAACTGACAGATGACCATTCAAAACATACTATTCCCATTTTTAGCATAAAATACCAGTCACCCAAAAAGTCTTACAAAGGAGTCCACAAAAGGGGCCTCCAGATTCAAAATGCCAATTAGATCACAACTTCAGCTTCCACTTCAGTCCTGAGCAGTGTAGAGGGAACGAAAATAATTCTTTTTTTTTCTTTGAGATGGAATCTCCCTCTGTTGCCCAGACTGGAGAGCAGTGATGCGCTCTTGGCTCACTGCAACCTCCGACTCCTGGGTTCAAGTGATTCTCCTGCCTCAGCCTCCCCAACAGCTGGGACTACAGGCGTGTGCCACCACGCCCAGCTAATTTTTTTTTTTTAGTAGAGACGAGGTTTCACCACGTTGGCCAGGCTGGTCTCGAACTCTTGACCTTAAGTGATCCACCCGCCTCAGCCTCCCAAAATGCTGAGATTACACGCATGAGCCACCATGTCCCGCCAAAAATCATTCTTATACCCACTGTCCTGGAGCTGACTTCAGTTTAAAATCCCCTCAATAAGGTAAGACCAGAACTGAGTTACCCAGAAGCTTTTCCATAGGCTTAGTGAGGTGGGCCCCGCAGCCAATCCAATGACAGATCCTGTCTAGGTTGAGGGCAACGATTTTTTCTCCATGACTGTTGGGCAATGGATCATAGGATCCCAGCTGCTCTACGAAACGGCCATCCCTGGGACACTTGTTGTGAGCAACCACAATGCGGTAGAAGGGCCGGTTGGTGCAGCCACCCAGGGCAAGGCGGATGGTTAAGTGGCCCCCACGGTAGGACTTGTAGAGGAGAGGACCTGTAGAAAAACAGGTGGTTAGGATACACACAAAAAAAAAACAGCACAGAAAGGGCAAAATGACACAGACAGCACAGTTCCCTTTTTCCACTGAAATGTCTCACTTCCAATCTATTCCTGTCAATTCAGTTTAGATGCTATTCTTCTTTGTGAAACCCCTCTTGGCCACTCCAGCCAGCAATGACCTCCTCCTCATACCCAAACCCACTCGGCATGGGCTTCCCATTCACTAGGCTCTGTGACCTTGTGCGAACCTTAGCTGCTTCAGTGGGGTGGAAATTTTTCACCGGTGATTAAGTGGGGAAAAAACTGAGAGGAGGATCAAATGTAAGGCAGTGTGGCTGCTTCAGGTTCGGGTTGCCTCCATCGCGCCTGGGAGAGCACCGCCCGACCCGGCCCCGAACTCCCGAGCCCCGTGACCGCCCGGTACGTCTCGCGGGGACCCGATGACTCACTGAGGTGGACCATGGCGCCGCCGGCATACGGCTCCTCGGAGCGCCCCGCTACCCGCACGCACCAGCTCTACGGCCTTAGCAAGGCAGAAGACAGACAGAAACAAACTGCAGGCCGCACCACCTAGACGTCCAAACCCCGAAAACCTTGACTCCGGAAGCGGATGGTCCACTCGCCCCGCCTCTTCCGCTTGCCGCCCTACACTTCCCACAATGCAACACGGTGACCCCTAACGTACCTTAAACTGCTGCAAAAGAGACGTTTCTCCTGGTGTCTTGTGGGCGTGACGGTGCGATCCCTCTCAGGCTTCTGAGTCTCTGCTGGAGTCAGAAGTTTTGGGCGAATCCCAGGCGCTCCAAGAGAAATGCTACACCATCCATCCATCTTGCAGGCGTTGCTGCCCAGGCGCAACGCTGAGAAGGCAAATACTAAAGGGCGCTGTCCTTTCCTCGTGGAGCTCACAGTCCGCTGGGGAGACCGTGAGATGACAGCGGAGAAACTAGGGCGATCAATAGTACTCAGTGCAAGGAGAGCGAGCAGAGAAGGCAGACTTAATGCTTGCTGAGGAAGACTTCACAGAGGAGGTAGTGTCAGGGCTGAGACTAGAAGAAGGATTATAAGTGACTAGAGTTTACTTTATCCTTCTCGTTAACTAAAACTAATTTACCTCTCACCTTTCCTCCTATTGTCATCCCACCCCTGTCGAGGCAATCACACCTTAAAAAATAAAGGAGAGGTTATTCCTGCTTTTGCCGTGCTGTGATCCAGGGCAGAGGTGAAGTATAATTTTTTTTTTTTTTTTAAACATCTGTAGCCCTAGAATATGGCCTCAGTGATGAGGGAAATGGTGTCTCCTTGGAGCCCTAGTGGTTTAGATCCATGAAGATGCCTGTGAGAAGGTGTCAGTAGTGAGAAGGTGTCAATAGCTCCACCTTCAGCAAAGACCTCTCTATTCAGCTTTTTTCGTTTATTGTTAGTTGCAAAGGGCTAACATGCTCTTTGCCCTAATACAGTGACCCAGCATAGCAGTCTTCCTCCAGGGCCACCTTTGAAAATGATGCCTTAATTCTTGTATTTCAGTTAACTGAACCTGGCCAGAGACCTTAGCACCAGACTTCCTCCAGGAGTGATCCAATAAGCTTTCATCAGAAACCCTAATAATGACCCCATTATACCTTAATTTTATTATATGTATATATATGCCATATAATTATAGCAATTACACTATAGTTATTTATATAACTAAATACCTACATATAATTCAGTATACGTTAACTCCAGAACCACACTGATGAATTTTGAGTTTCATATCTTCATTTTTTATTGTGACCCAGTTTCTTGTCAACCAGTAAAACATCCAGTAACACAGCCAATGGAAATAAATGAATGGGTCTCTGTTTATGGTGAAGATTCTTTCATTCTCCAGCTGCAGACTTGATATGGTGAAACTCTCTGGGAAGGAAAGGAACTCAAGAGTCCCATACGGAAAATTGTTCAGCTGGAGGGGTATCAGAAAGATGGATTTCCAAAGCCAACTGTTTCCTGTAGTGTGTGGATCTCTGCAAGCAGAGCCTCATCTTTCAATTTCAGCTACATGAAAGAGAAAGAAATGGAAATATATATGTCATACGTGATATACTTTATGTGGCTTTGAAGACCCCGCTTTTGTGGGGCTACAGCTAAAGAACATAGTTCCCGGGGATGGAATTGGCTCTTCCTCTTTCCCTCCTTCGTGAAAACTCCAGTAGAAGACCTTAGAACCTTGTCCTGGTTACATGGATATGTTTACTTTGTGAAAATTCATCAAGCACTTTGAACAGTCATGATTTGTACATTTTTTTGTAAGATAACTTCATTAAAGTCTACTTTTTTATTTTTAAAAAGTGTTCACATTATTACCAGCATCTCTTGGCTAATGCATAGTATTCCCATCTGGCAAGTGATATCAGGGAATCAGAGACAGAAATCATAGGCTTATATTAGATCTGGTTTTAGTGTTAGAATCTAGATATGTAGTAGAGGCATCGAGGAGCCTACTGAATACCGATTTTTTCTTAGTAACAAAATCTTAATTTCTTTTCAAGGCAGCAATGCAATCAGCTAAAAAGCCACATTTTCCTGCTTCCCATGCAGCTAGAGGTAGTCATGACCAATTGTGGCCCAATTAAATGTAAACTAAAGTCATTGGGTAGGACACCTGGAGAAGCCCTTTATTTAGGGAAAGTCCTTTAAAGGGAAGTGAAGTAGCATGGCCCCTTTTTCCTTTTTCCCTTATTGTTCTTTAGCTTGCCTGAGACATGGATATGATAGAAAGTTACACTGGCTGTCTTGCAACTATGAGGGATAGAAACTGCATGCTACAATTAGTGCAGCACAAAGATAGATGTTGGGTTCCTTGATGACATTGTGGAGCTGTGGTATGAGCCCTGGACTTTTCATTAGATGAGAAAAAACTAACTTGTTTAAACCACTGTCTTTCAAGTCAAGTTACTTGGAATTCATAACTAATAGAACAGGCCAGGCATGGTGGCCCCCACCTGTAATTCCAACACTTTGGGAGGCTGAAGTGGGTAGATCACTTGAGACCAGGAGTTTGAGACCAGCCTGGCCAACATAGCAAAGCCCTGTCTCTATTAAAAATACAAAAATTAGCTGGACATGGTGGCACATACCTGTAATCCCAGCTACTTGGGAGGCTGAGGCACAAGAATCGCTTGAACCGGGAGGTGGGGGTTGCAGTGAGCTAAGATCGTGCTACTGCACTCCAGTCTGGGCAACAGTGCAAGACTCTGTCTCAAAATATATATGTATATGTAACTGATAGAACAGACCAGGGGTTGTTCATGAGCCAAATCCAGCTCATTACCTGTTTTTTATTTGTTTGTTTTTGAGACGGAGTCTTGCTCTGTCGCCCAGGCTGGAGTGCAGTGGCATGATCTCGGCTCACTGCAAGCTCCACCTCCCGGGTTCACACCATTCTCCTGCCTCAGCCTCCTGAGTAGCTGGGACCACAGGTGCCAGCCACCACACCCTGCTAATTTTTTTGTGTTTTTAGTAGAGACGGGTTTTCACCGTTAGCCAGGATGGTCTCCACTTCCTGACATTGTGATCCAGCCACCTCAGCCTCCCAAAGTGCTGGGATTACAGGCGTGAGCCACCATGCCCAGCCACTACCCGTTTTTTTGTAAGTAAAATTGTACTGGAATACAGCCATTCACTTATGTATTATCTATAGCTGCTTTTGTACTACAAGTGCAGAGTTCAGTAGTTGCAACAGACTATTTGGCCTACAAATCCCCCAAAATTTCCTATTTTGCCCTTTACAGAAAATGTTTGCTGACCCCCTAGACTAGACCAACCCCTACATATTACACGAGGAAAATGAAGCCCACAATATTAACACAGTAAGTTAATGGCAAAACCAGAATCATAATTCAGGTTGACTGACTCCCAGGCTACCTTTCTATTAACTATTATATATTCTCTCTAAAGAGTTGGAAGAAAGATCACCCATGATAATACATAGGTTATTATTACAAACCCAGCAGCCCCACAACAATGGCAAAGATGCTAAGAAAAGCCTCTAGAAAAATATTCACATTATGAAAATCCTGAATTAAGCCAGTACCTCCCTCCTAATTTCCCACCCTCAACATGGGGCAGGCAAATGACAGAGGCATCTGTGTCATACCTTAATCATGTACTTGTAGGCCTGCTCAGCTTCTAATTGCCGCCCAACCTGAAAAAAAGGACAGCAGCTGGTGATGATGACAGGTCATAAACATTATGGTAAGGAAAATACATTGCCTCAGTTAAGGCAGAGGCACCTACACTTAGGCAGAGGCTTCTACACCTTCCAGTTAAAACTTCTGAATTCAGAGGGAAAGCTAGCAAATGAAAGATGGTAGGGAGAAAAAGGTTTAAAAAAAAAAAAAAAATCCTCCTGGTTGGGCACAGTGGCTCATGCCTGTAATCCTAGCACTTTGGGAGGCCGAGGCGGGTGAATCACGAGGTCAGGAGATTGAGATCATCTTGGCTAACACGGTGAAACCGCATCTCTACTAAAAATACACAAAATTAGCTGAGTGTGGTGGCACGTGCTTATAGTCCCAGCTACTCGCAAGGCTGAGACAGGAGAATCGCTTGAACCCAGGAGGTGGAGGTTGCAGTGAGTTGAGATTGTGCCACTGCACTCCAGCGCGGGCGACAGAGTGAGACTCCATCTCAAAAAAAAAAAAAAAGGAAAAAAAATTCCTCCTTCATTTTGAAAAGCTTAAAGATAACCTGGCCTCTCACCTTTTTGAAAGCACCATGAGTCATTTGTTCCTCTTACGATTGAAGCCATTCTGTTAATAATAATTAACACTTACCAGTCCATACTATGTGATTTACATTGTTTTCATTATTGATATTGTTTTTAGTGCTTTAAGTTCATTCTTAATCCTCAAGACCTAGGAGATAACTACTGTTATTTATTATTCCCAGTTTACAGAGAGGATAAGTAACTTGCGAGGGTTATGAAGCTAGTAAGTAGAGGAGCCAGGTTTAAAACAATGCAGTTTGACTCCAGAGTCCAAGTTTTTAACTACTACATTACTCTGTCTCTAGGAATTAGAAAAAGTAGGTATCAGAATTACTACTATGAAGATCTGGATATGAGATAAGAACACTACTCCCCCCAGTTGATATTATTCTTTGCATGAAGCACTCCTCCAGAAGTTAAATGAGATAATATGAATCCACTATTCTACTTCTTGAGTTTGTCACATAGTAACTAACTTAGAGTATCCAAAGTCACTTAGTAAAGCTTAAATATGTAAGAACCACAGAATGTTCAGGTCTGAAGGGGACCTGGGGAATATCTAGTCCAATTTTCTGACTAATGCTAGTCCATATGAAAGTTTTACTAGTTCACAAAACTTTCATACCCTAAACCCTTACTTCCTACAAATCTACACTTTGAAATGTTCCCACCTGAAGTTCACTGAATTGCCAGCAGCATTTTCCAGCACACCTTCCCTTCCTACCACTATTACTTTGTTTCCCTCCTGCCACAAGGAGGCAGAGGCCCAAATGATGTGAAGATCCAGAATAGCCAAAACAATTTTGAAAAATAATTTTTCTGCTATCATGAACACTGCTGCAGTAAACATACTTGTACTTATCTTCTTCTTCTTCTCCTTCCTCTTTTTGTTTTGAGACAAAGTCTCACTGTCACCCAAGCTGGAGTGCAATGGCACGATCTCAGCACTCTCGCGATCTCAACACTGCAACCTCTGCCCCCTGGGTTCAAGCGATTCTCCTGCCTCAGCCTCCTGAGTAGCTGGGATTACAGATGTTATACATATCTTCTTGTATTTTTCTTAGGATTATATCTAGCTATTGCATTGCCAAATTGTAGATACTAATATAACTAAATGATGCCACATTGTACTTAAAAGTGGTTGTGCCAATTTACATCCAATTGCAATTATGAGAATCTTCATCAGTGCTTGTTGCAGGAAGTCAGGGACCCTGAATGGAGGGACCAGCTGGAGCCATGGCAGAAGAACATAAATCGTGAAGATTTCATGGACATTTATTAGTTCCCCAAATTAATACTTTTATAATTTCTTACACCTGTCTTTAGTGCAGTCTGTGAACATAAATTGTGAAGATTTCATGGACATATATCACTTCCCCAATCAATACTCTTATAATTTCCTATGCCTATCTTTACTTTAATCTCTTAATCCCGTCATCTTCATAAACTGAGGATGTATGTCGCCTCAGGATCCTGTGATGATTGCAGGGATTCACAAATTGTTTGTAGAGCATGTGTGTTTGAACAATATGAAATCTGGGCATCCAAAAGGAACAGGATGGCTGCAATTTTCAGGGAACAAGGGAGATAACTATTGGTCCTCACTGCCTGTGGGGCCAGAGAGAACAGAGTCATATTTCTCTTCTTACAAAGGCGAATAGGAGAAATATCGCTCAATTCTTTTTCTCAGGAGGGAACAGCCCTGAGAAAGAGAATGCATTCCCAGGGGTATGTCTCTAAAATGGCTGCTCTGGGAGTGTCTGTCTTATACGGTTGCAGAAAAGGGATGAAATAAGTCCCGGTCTCCTGTAGCGCCCCCAGGCTAATTAGGATTAGGAAATTCCTGCCTAGTAAATTTTAGTCAGACCAGTTGTCTGCTCTCAAACCCTGTCTCCTGATAAGATGTTATCAATGATAATGCGTGCCCAGTGGAACATGAAATTTCATCAGCAATTCTAATTTCGCCCTGGTCTTGTGATCTCGCTCTGCCCCCATTTGCCTTGTGATATTTTATTCCCCTTGAAGAATGTGATCTCTGTGACCCACACCCTATTTGTACACCCCTCCCCTTTTGAAATCCATAATAAAAACTTGCTGGTTTTGCAGCTCAGGGGGCATCACGGAACCTGCCGACATGGGAGGTCTCCCCTGAACACCCAGCTTTAAAATTTCTCCTTTTGTACTCTTTCCCTTTATTTCTCAGACCGGCCGACACTTAGGGAAAATAGAAAAGAACCTACATTGAAATACTGGGGGCTGGTTCCCCCGATAAGTGCTAATACCATACTTAAATTTTTGCCAATCTGATGGCTGTGAATTTCTGCCACATCATTATTCTAAGTTGCATTCTTATGCTTACTAGTGACACAGAGCTTCTTCTCATACATGTATTAACTTTTACAATCTCCACATTAGCAAACTGCATATTCCTATGTTGTCCCCCATGCCCCTCCCCCTCCTTTTTTTTTTTCTTTTTTGAGACAGGGTCTGGCTCTGTCATTTAGGCTGGAGTGCAGTGGCACAATCACAGCTCACTGCAGCCTCAACCTTCCCGGCTCAAGTGATTTTCCCACAGTTTTA